CTCCCAAAGTGCTGGGATTACAGCCATGAGCTACCACACCTGGCCAAGACCCTGTCTTTAAAAACAATCTTTTAAAAAATTTCCAGCCCTCGTTCTGTATTGCCCATTTTCAATCCAGCGCAACTAGGACTTCAGTATTTTGGAGGGCTGGACCTCTGAGTCTTAGGTGTCCCATCTGCAAAATATGAGAATCCTAACGAAGTTGATGCGGGGATTGAACAGGGGCTTGGGCACAAGGGTCTGACACACACACAATAGGTTCCCGAAAAATGTTCATAGGGAGGAAAAGCAGTCACTCAATAAAGCTATTTGTGTTTACTTTTCAGATAGGGTCTTGCTCTGTCACCCAGGCTGGAGTGCAGTGGTGCGATGACAGCTCACGGCAGCCTTGACCTCCTAGGCTCAAGTGATCCTCCCACTTCAGCCTCCCAAGTAGCTGGGAATCACAGGTGTGAGCTACCAAGCCTGGCTAATTTTTGCATTTCCTGTAGAGACAGGAAATGTTGCTATGTTATCCAGCGTGGTCTTGAACTCCTGGCCTCAAGCAACCCTCCTATCATGGCCTCACTACTGCTGATGGAGGTATTAAACCTCCCTCTTAGGGACGTATGATCCAGGCCTGGCTGATCAGAACATCATACAACCCTGGCACATGACTAGCTCTTAACTGAAGGTCATGTAACCCCCCAGGGAAGTCCAGTCATATCCAGGTGCTGAGAGAACTCTGCCTTGACCTGGGTTGGGGTCTGGGGAGTGGTTGGAGCCATCATACACCTTTCCGTTTGTTGGGGGGTAAGCAGGACATACTGACTGGCAACCATGTCAGTACCCTCCCCAATGGCAATGTTGTCCTAGCACCTGGATACAGCCAAGCCTGAAGCTGTTCTCTTGGCTTTTTCATCTTTTTTATTTTTGAACTTTTCATTTTTATTTGAGAAAAGCTCTCGCTCTGTCACCAGGCTGGAGTACAGTGGTGCGATCTCAACTCGCTGCAACCTCTGCGTCCCAGGGGCTTTTTCATCCACAAGAAAGCAGCCACTCACCTTTGCTCAGTGGCTAAGTTTTCTGTCACTTGCAATGAAGGTGATCCCAATTAACGCAAAGTGATGGGTGTGGACTTCGGTTAACGAGTCTCAAATTTTTATTTTGATGGCAAAAATCACACAGGGAAGAACAAAAATTATCCATGACAAACTAGGAGTGGAAATGGGCTGGGAAACACGGAAGATGGGTGCCCACAGTTCCTGGGATCCCTCCTGGAATCCTGGGTTTCCCTCCTAGGACCCCACAAGGTACCCTAGGTGCCTCCTGGAACCCCCTGACCCCAGAGGTCCCAAGGAACCCAGTATGAGAACCAAGGCTTTAGGCCAAGGACTTCCTTGCACAAGAAGATGCAGATGTACAGGGATGATTCAGACAGTGGCCTCAACCTCAGTGGCTTCATCTTCCTCCTCCAGCAGGCTGTAGGAAGCGTGGCTCTGGCAGGGCCGCTGCAGGGGGTGGGCCAACAGTTTCGCCATGCAGTTGTGCAACTCCAGGGCTGGCCCAGCCAGCGCCACCTCATACTTGTAGCTGGTACCCTTGGTATCCAGGCTGCCCATGAAGGCAAACATGTCCTGGGGAGGGGCGGGGGTCAGTGAAGGGCTGTTCAGGCAGAGGTTACCCCAACAGGCCCTTCATATCCCTGGAGGGCTTCTCAGAAGAGGGGACATCTGGGGTGGGTTCTAAAGGGTGAAGAGGAGTTTGCCAAGCAGAAACCATTCATACATTGAGCAAACATTCCCTGCCATGGACCCAGTGTTAGGGATCTGAAGAGGTCCCAGTCATGGATCCCAAAGAGTCCCCAGTGTGGAGAGACACAGTCAGATACAGACACATTCTCCTGGCCCCCACTTTGATCCTTCTTGAAAAACAGGGAGGGCTTCTCAGAGGAGGGACTTTTTATTTTACTTTTTTTTTGCTGTTGAGACGGGGTTTCGCTGTGGTTCCCAGGCTGGTGTGCAATGGCACCATCTCAGTTCACCACAACCTCCACCTCCCAGGTTCAAACGATTCTCCTGCCTCAGCCTCCTGAGTAGATGGGATTTCAGGCATGCGCCACCATGCCCGGTTAATTTTGTATTTTTAGTAGAGACACGGTTTCTCCGTATTGGTCAGGCTGGTCCGAACTCGTGACTCAGGTGATCCACCTGCCTCGGCCTCCCAAAGTGCTGGGATTACAGGTATGCACCACTGCTGCCTGGCCCGATTTTTATTTTTTGACACAGGGTCTCCGCCCTGTCACCCAGGCTGGAGTGCAGTGGCTTGATCATAGCTCACTGCAATCTCCACCTTTCGGGCTTAAGCGAGCCTCCTGTCTCAGCCTCCCGAGTAGCTGGGACCACAGGCATACACCACCACGCCTGGCAAGAGGGGGGACTTTTGATTTGGGTATTGAAGTATGAGGAGGAGCTGGTCTCAACTCCCTATTCATAGTTGGGTAAACTGAGGTTCAGAGAAGTAAGTAATCCACTCGAAGTCCCACAGCTAGTTCAGGTCTGGGATGTGAAGGCCCAGCAGGGCCTTTGTAGTCCAAGAGGGATGGATGCTCCAGGCTGAGGGCATAGCGAGGTCAAAGGCAGGAAGAAAGGGAAGAGGGAGCCGGTCGCGGTGGCTCACACCTGTAACCCCAGCACTTTGGGAGGCTGAGGCAGGCAGATCACCTGAGGTCAGGAGTTCAAGACCAGCCTGGCCAACATGGTGAAACCCCGTCTCTACTAAAA